CTTCTTTTGCAATATATTACAGGTAGGCCTATACTCGGTCATGACACTTTTCGTGACCCCGCACTGAAGTGACCCACATTACATCGCCGTGCACTCGTAACACACTTACGGGTCTATATAGAATCTTGCCCGTGACTGGTTTGATGCGCCAACATATTTAATGAGATAATGAGGTCATTTTACCGGCGTGCTCGAAAGACAGTCAGATACATACTGAAGTGAGAATCGATGGTGCCCGTCAAGAAGAGACTGGTTCAGGCAAACCGGAAGATTCAGGAATTTTGCTTGCTGGGTGCCACCGAAAGTGATGCGCTCCCGACTCGTGGTGTTCTCGAACAAAAGACGGGCAGAGAATGTCAAACACCTACATTTACTTTTTAGAATAATGTGGGGGAATTTTAAGATTCTTAATTAATTTGATTTAAAAATTAATATCTGACAATTAAATATAGGAATATTCCAGAAAGCAATAAAAAAAATGAGGCAAGCATTGCTTGCTATGCTTATACATGTATTCACAATCCGCCCCCTGATTAGCAGCATTGATATGTCCCACGACCATGAATTATGTCCCAGAATGGCGCATCCCACAATGATATTATATATCTACAGCAATAACATGGCCCAAAAATGACCTTACCTTAACCACGATGCCCGTTATACAATAGCATACGATGCAATTCGCAAAGACAAATCCCACGATAAAATATCTCACAATGACATATACAGCAGCCCACGGTGGCATATTCAACAACGACATATACAACAATGGCATGTCCCAAAATATTGATGGTAATAATAATAATAATAATAATAATAATAATAATAATAATAATAATAATAATAATAATAATAATAATAATAATAATAAAGGAAAATGGCCCCTTTCAATACTAACTGAGTATAAGAGTTGGGACTACATCCAAATATTAGCCTATCCAGTGTACAAAACGAAATAAGAGGACAGAAAGCCTAGAAAACTGTTAAAACAACTCAAGTAAAAAAAATACCCCTTTGGAAATTCGAACCAGGACAATAATGATTTAGGCCTGAGGTAATGTTGTATTGAAGGCCATGATTAATGACCTGTACTTTCCTCTGTAGAAAAACATGGAATAACATCAAGAAGCTAGCCCAGGACAGAGAAAGGTGGGAAGTGTTTGTCCGTGGCCTATACCCTGGTGCTGGGTGAGAAAGGCAATTGTGATGATGATGCTGATGACTTTTCTCAGTGGTCAGAGCAAGGGATGAGAATGAGGTGATAGATAGATATATAAAAAGACAGATAAATAGATAGATACATAGATCAATAGATCGATAGATCAATTGATCAATGGATCGACGAATCGATAGATAGATCGGTTCATAGATAGAACAGGCAGAGAGAAATAGATAAACAGAAATAGATTATATATAAATATATCTATAACGTAATATGAAAATGAGAATCTTTTTGTTTGGAGAGTTTTCTGAAGTTTTCAAAGACCTTCCAATTCGTTCGCATAACCCAGATACAGAGAATTTATTCTTCTACGTGTGTACTCTTGTCGAGGACAGGTTGGCCTGTTCGTATAATGTAAAGGTACGAAAGTATTACGTTAAGTCGAATGTTGCAACTTGTATCAATGCTGAAGTACATAAAACGGAATTACATCCACTTAAAGTAAAGATATAGCCACCACCAGCATTTTCCCAACATTCAGGCAAACACAAGAAGCAATAAATGTACGGTCCGTGCTTCTTTGACATTTTTTCCTAAATACTTTCAGTTAACAATTTAGTGTCCATTATATGGCATCAAAAATGGCATCACCATAATAATATTAATATATAATATGAATATCAATTTAGAAAAAAAAAAGATTCAGTAGAAGGTTTAATAGACTTTTGACCAGTAAGAATAAAAATGAAAAAAAAAAATAACAACAACTCCAAACAGAAGCAGCAACAATCTCGTTAAACCAAACATAACAACGAGGACAACAACACAAACAACAGCGACAACAACAACAACATGACCCCAACGATAACAGCACGCTGTATTTTTCTCCATGCCAGATAATGTCATACACATAAGACCATGCACCCAGAGCCTTCAATACAAGAGTATACATACTACTTCTCCTTCTCTGTCGGAATAAAATAATGGGACAGCTAGGTTATAGACCTGGCACAGATGTCAAGACACGAATTGACAAGACAATAGGTACTCAGACTCATATCACAAAAAGGTACGGAAATCAGGAACTATAGGAACAAAAACCAAGATAAGGATTTTCAACACTATTGTCAAAAGTATACCTACAAACTTCTAAAAAGCTACAGCCATTTGTCAACAGTTGTTTAAGAAAGATTCAAGAACATTCACTGGCCTGACATACTAAAAAAAATAGAACAACTATGGTAGCAAACAAATCTTCAGAAAAACAGATAAATCTGTAAGAGAAAATGGAAGTAGATTAGACGCACCTTGAGAAACCTGATTATCATTACCCACTAAGCTTTAAGATAGAATCCCCAATAAAAGAGAATGAGAAAAAGGTTTCAATGCAGGTGGAGTAAGGACTTACATTCGGACCTAAAACTAATGGGAGATACAGCTGGAAAAAAGGAGGAGACTATAGCTCAAGATAGAGAAAGATGGAGAGCTGCTCTTGTTGGTGGCCTATACTTCTGCACGATGTGAGAGAGGATGATAGTGAAGATGATGACACGTTATAGAGGTCGCATGCTGGGTATAGCCATTTATGGTAGGCCTAGCAGTGCCCTACTGACTCGTGCTAAAACTTGAAAGCAGTCTACACATATTCACATTGACGGATCTGCTTGATCAGGTCAGGTTCTGAATTCAGTCTGGTCTGTGTATATTTATCAAACGATCACACTCAGACTTTTAATGTTTCCTACACCAAATAGTATTTTTAATGATATTATGTACTCTAGTAACAGCTCACCGTTGAACGTTATAAACACCCCTTTGGTGAAATGATTAATTTCTTTTGATAAAGTGATTAATTTACATTTTATCCCCACATATTATATTCGAAACACTATCATTGAGAAGGAGAAATAAAAGCTTCCCAATTTTTATTAATGTCTGTCACATTGAGATTAATTTTGCATCCTCTCTTTCATCTCGGGAGGTATTCGATTTCAATCCAGAAAACGAAATACATACATTTGATTTGATTCTGGTGAATTTATCCTCCTTTACTTATTGCCGCTTATACCGTGAGGTGTCGCAGGGATGTAGAGACATCGAGTCTTGATAAACAAGAAAGCCTCTTGGAACATGAATTGTGAACGCAACGCTGAACCAGGATAACGTATCAATTCCAAAAAAATCTACAAAGTTACCACGAGTATGAAGTCAAGAAAATATTAATCTACCCAGATGCACCTTTACTTTCCGTGTTGATTCTGTTTGTCTCAAAGTGTCTGTCTAATTTTTCCAGACTAAATAACCACTATTCTGTCGACGTGCATACTATCTTAACTCAAACAAACCAGATTTCCAATTGCCATTCTGCAGACTGACTCTGCAAAGACCAGGTGACGTCACACAAGCGTACATCCCAGCTTAACATGCTGCAAAGATTACATGACACAAGCGGCATGCCAAGAAGAGCATGGGCGTACTGACATGTGGTACACACCTGGCACCCCGCTGTGCGCCCGCCGGCACGACGCACAGCACGCGGTTCGAACCTCAGCCCTGTAGCACAGACTCCGGGAGTCCTGTATAGCTCGGGAACACGTCTTGCCGTTGGGTGCAAATACGCCGTCCACGCATACTGAAAACAGAGACAATTTTAGTGAAAGGACACAAGTAAAAGAAATCAAAGACAATTCTGCAGTAAAAAAAAAGGACAGACAATACTTCGGTAAAAGAAAAACAATTAACTATGAAAAGAGAGACAGTACTTTAACGAATGGACAAGTATTTTAGTGAAAGCACAAAAGTAAAAGAAATGAAAAACAATACTACAGTAAAAGAAGAAAGGAAAAACAATGCTTCGGTAAAAGAAAAACAATTAAAAAAGAAAACAGAGACAATACTTCGATAAAAAAAGAGAAAAGAAAGGCAATAAATCAGTATAAGAAACAAAGAGAGACAATTCTTCTGTTGAGGTAGAAAAAGGAGACAAAACTTCGGTAAAAGAAGAAAAGAGAAACAAAACTTCGGTAAAAGATTAACATGGTTTTTGGCCCTTTTCTTGCTCTTTGCCAGTACGCATTTCGCAAAGACAACAGAAAGAAGCAAAACAGTTGTTACTGACAGAAAATATGTCAAGTAGACAGGTATTCTTCCACGGGGTCGTATGGGCCTGTGCCGATCCTTCTTTTTTATCTGTACATCTGTTCTAATGTATCTCCAGTGAGCGAGTTCTTCTATCGAACACCTCCGCCGTCTTTCTGGGGGAACGTTTTATTTTTCAGAGAACGTGTAGGCCCTGACAGACAGGACAGAAGCAGCCCACCTTCTATATTATCTAATTAGTGTAGATGGTGGCGTAAGAATGCTCCCAACAACCCAGCACTGCAAACCCATAGCAAGAGAAACTGGGCGTGGAATTTTTTTACGCTATGTACAAATTTCGCAATGTACGTACTTCAAATATCATAATGAATGCACATGTACCAGAAAAACATTCGAGTACTGCAAAAGTTTAAAATTGTTCACTAAATCTGTGTGTGTTTCGCTATGCGTGTGTGAGTGCGTATGTGTGTGTGTGTGTGTGTGTGTGTGTGTGTGTGTGTGTGTGTGTGTGTGTGCGTGCGTGCGTGTGTGCGCGTGTGTGTGTGTTTCGCTATGTTCGTACATGTATTTGCAACGAGCGTGTTACAGTGTACTTTCTCCAGCAAAGCGTTTTACCTGGACTTTGCGGCGTGGAGGCTGTAGTTTGGGGCCGGGTGGGTGTCGTCTGGGTGGACCGTGGGGTCTGTGTCCTGGTGGTCCTAGCGGTGGTCCTTGGGGTTATCCTGGTGGTGGGTCTTTCTGTCGTGGGGGTTGTGGGGGAGGCGCAGGTCTGACAACACTCCCGCTCTATTCCCCTACAGGTGGTGACTGCGCGGCACTGGGTGTAGCGGTCTCCGTACTCACAACCTGTGGGTAGTATTGGACATGTGGTTAAAATCAGCTTGCTTAAATACGTTTATATTTAGAGGAGCACACAGGACCCCTCATATCTCCCCCCCCCTCCCACGCCCCCCAAAATACCCCAACAAAACAATAACAACTAAAAGAAAACAACAACAATCCAACAACAACAAACAACCCCCCTAAAAAAAACCCACGACAACAACAACAACAAAAAACACCATAAGCAACAAAACCAATACCTCCCTTCCCAAAAAAGTAAGAAAAAAAGAAAAAGACGTCAAACCAACAAAACAAAATCCAACCAGGCAAACAAACAAAGAACAAACAGACATACAAAATCAAACAAAACACATTTTGAAGAGCACCAACAAAAAGAAAACAAAAACAATATCAACCACAAAAACATATTAAAAACAATCAACAACCACCTCCCCTCAATAACAAAGAAACAATAACTGAAAGAAGTTTTGAAAAAAACAACAACCAAACAAACAAAATCACAGAAAAAAACAACAGCTGCAAAGCACCTCACCTTCGACCCCCGTGTGTACGAGACTGCACGACTGACAGCACTCCGTCAGAACATTGTCCTGGTAACAAAGCAGTGGACTTCTGCTCACGGCAGCAGAGCATGCAACGCCATTCACCAAAATGTTGGGGTTGTCTCGACATCCTGAAAAGACATGGCAAAAAAAAGATAAATTACTTGGTGTTTTGTTATTTCCGTTTCCTTAAACACAAATTAGATAATTAATTAGAAGTCGGGCTTAAACTTACACCCTCCCCGTCAAGGCCAAACTGGGCTGAAAGGGATACAACGTCCCGGCAGTAAGACTGGGATTCTCAATAAAAAGAAAATTTTCCCCTCACGGGAGTCGAACTCTGCTCTCTTGTGTGCGACGGCGATGCGCCTAACAGCTGTACCACAGACACAGATACGGTCATTTTAGTCACCCCCC